TTCAAATGGCTGCCCTGGGGCTGCCTCTTGCATAACATGGGCCCCTTGGGACTGTGAACGTCAGTTTGCCCGTGTCACCTGCTATGGTATGAGATCTTACAATACTTGTGTCTGTACCCTCCATGCGTGACAGAGATGCTGGAACATAGTAGATTCTCAAGAAGTTGGTTGAATGGATGGATTCAAGACCCTTTAAATGCCTCTTCTATGAACTCTTCCCTGAGGCTACTGCTAGGCAAAGGTGGTCATTCTATTCTCTAGGCCATAACCTTACCTTTTAGGGGAAAATAAAACTGACTGTATCTGGTGGGGTGCTCTGGCCCACATACAGTAGGGCTGAGTGGCAGAATGAAGTGACATGTGGCCGTGGCCTATTTCATCTTTGCACCGGCCATGGGGAAGCCCCCCACCCCGTGAACAATGACGCAGCCAAGGTTGGAGGCTTCACCTACACCACTGTGCTTTGCTCTGGCTCATAAAGTCCCTCAGGGCAGGTGCCACGTCTTACATCCACTGTCTATACTTCTGGAACCTTCTAGACAATATTTCTTAGTCAACTGAGAGCCTAAATAACCTGTTCACGATATTTACATTTCTTCCTTCACTCTCTTGGAAACTATAAATACAAACAATATCTTAAATCATATCCAGCTGGAATAAAATATTTTAATCTCCTGTGAACTTCACGTGGTATCTACAATACCTAGGAAGAGTTCCATTGTGATCGAAACTCTTCATCCTTAGATTCTTTATTTCAACAAACACTTCTGCATTTGAACTCACAACGTTCAAAGTTCCTATGCTAGAAACTGAGAAGAATAAAATTGTTTTAAATACAGTTTCTCTTCTAAAGGATTTTTGTCAAATCTCATTAACTTGACTCTTTTTACTCAGTATTATATTTTCAACATGGTATTTGCAAAAGATCAAACAGTGTTTTCGGGTTAATCTTCTATAATAATTTAAGGAAACTATATGAGTATTATAATAGTAACTGCCTAATTAAGATCTAAAATGCAAAAATAAATACTACAATGAGTCTAAACGTATCTGTAATCCGTAATTTATGTTTCCAAACCTTTTTTTAAGCAAAGTGAAATCTTCACAAGTCCACAGAGAGAGGGGAGCACAGAGGCTGGCTGTGTAACCCACGCTGCCCAAGGCCACAGTGCCGGGCGGGGTCAGTCAGGCTCTCACCTGCAGCCCTGAGTCCCGGGCAGGCTGATACATATCCCAGGGGGGTCTCCTCATCTAGGAAAGGGGATGATGGCAGACCTCACCTATTGGCTTTTGCTCTGGTTGTGACTGTGGTTAAAATGAAAAGAATTCTTATCGGGACTCAAAATAGTGGCTGGCACCAGGTCAGTGTTGTATTGCTATCATAGCAGAAAAAAATAACGTCTTCCGCTTGACACCAAAATTCTCAGAAGAAGAATGCAATGATCAGGTGTTTCCAAGTATCTGTACTTACGCTCACAGACCTAAGATTTCTGGCTGTTTGGCAAATGTCTAACTTTGATGTGATGTTTAGTCTCAGAGCTAAAGCTCATACAGTTCTTAGAACAGGCTACTTCCGATACCAAGATTACTGGCCTGCTAAACATCTACGTCTTAGGTATACCGAAGACAAGCTGTCCGTGAACTGTTTTTCAAATCTTGGGATGCTTCATTATAAAAGTTCATGGAGTTATAGAATTTGAGGAACGAAAAGGACCCCAGTGGACACCAAGCTCAGCCTGGAATGTGACAGATGTTATCAAAATAAAGCAACTGGTCGAGTCAAGATCATTCAACCCTTAACCATACTTGGCTGTGAGTAGAGCCCAGAGTCCATGGGACCCAGTGTCACTTGACACTATGTCGCTGACAATGTTTGTTTTTCCCTAACCTCTGTGCCCAGAGACCGCATAGCAGAGAAAGAAATTAAGAGCATGGATTTGGGGAACAGTTAGATTTGGGCTCAAGCCTCAATGCTGCTGGTGACCTCAGGGAAAGCACCTGAATGTGTCTCAGCTTCATTTGCTTTATCCGCTAAAAAGGGGTACGAAGGGAAATCTTACAAGGATTACATCACATAACGCGTGTAGGGGTTTAACACAGCGCCGGCACAGCGCGTGCGCTGGTGAAGGACAAAGATTGCTATTTTATTACTGTCGTCACGTACGTCATCCTTGTTATGAAGAGATTCATGCACACAACGTTTGCATCAGAAGTTCTTTTTCTTACTGGCCAAACCTAAGAAATAGTTCTTGGGTTGCTGACTTAACAGGTGTGCGCTGAGTGTAAGTGCGTGCATGTGTTAGGGAGAGGGAAGGAGGGAGGTGTGTGTTTCCATCATTTGACAAAGCCAAGTCCTGGGGGATCCCACGGCTTCTGTCCGTCCCCCTCAGCTCACTTGCAGTCTGCTGTGATACGGCCTATATACCATCTCCAACCACAAAATCTGATTGTTGGAATCTCCGGGATTGACCAGGTTCGATTATGTAGGAACAGTCCCAAGGAAGTAAATGAAGCAGGCATGGGATGTCACCAAACTTCAACTGTTTATGGGAGCAAAGAAGGGCTACCAGAAGATTCCTGCCACGGGGAAATCTAATTAGCTCCGTGATTTCCTACAAAAGCGCTTGGAAATTTGACCTTCAAACCAAAGATCCACATCAAAATGTACAAATTGTTCTACAATCTGAAATCTATGGCTGGAAGGTAATTCAGCAGAATGCATTTCAGATAAATAAAACCAGTGGAATATTTTATTAGCTCAAAAGGTCTCAGTGAAATAGATTCCATTTACCTGTGAAAACCAACGTAAGCAATATTCGGAAAGGTTTTTTTTATTCGTTTGTTTTGTTTAGACTTAGAAACTGCCTTTCAGGAGTGAAAAGGTAGAGCTTTAATCCCTAGGAAAAAAATTCCTAAATACCTCATAGAACTAGGACAATCCTTCATGGAGTCAGAAGCAAAAAAAAAGAAAAGGAAAAAATAACTTCCTCTACCATTAAAAATACCCACCATGGTACCCCGATCTCCATTCTTTCCCTTCCTCAGGCCTGACATTCTGTAGATGACCGCCCTTATTTGTCCCTACATGTTTTCCAAAATATAAAAGTGAAATAGAGTCCCAAGGGCACAGTACTTGAAAGGTTATGAGAGTTGGAGAATTTTAACCATGCCTGCCAAATCAGCAGATGGCTTGTGATTATAATTATATGCATCAATAAAACGAATAATCTTTACAAAATTTGAATTTCTACTAAAGTAAGGGATTTAGTAAGCAGATGCAACAGAATGCATTTTGTTTAACCCTTTTGGTAGACACTGGTATATTTCACACACAAAAAGGTCAAGGGCTCTGTACATAATAGGTTTGCCCCTTTTCTGGAGTAGTCATTTTGTCAGCTTCAATCTTTTCTTGATTTCATTTTCTCCATGAGCATATTTCACCCTCACCCCTTTTTCACCCTTCAGCATAGAAATGTTAAGACTAATTCCTTACCATTGTTTGTTATTTGAAAGAAGAAAATTTAAAAGAGGTAAATACCTTCATTCTTATTCATACCAAATATGCCACAGACACGAAAGAGCAAACAGTAGATGCATCTTCCTAGCTGATGGTATTCTTTTACAAATTAGCTTTTCAATAACAAAATTTTTCATTTTTTGTTTTCTTATTCTCTGTAATCTACTTGCCAGGAATGAAAATACTGTTTATTCTATTTAAATAATTAACCATTTCATTTCTGGCTGCTTCTGCCTAACATTGCAAGTCCGGATAACTAAGTTTTGTCCCGTGCCAAGCATGAATTCCCTCATATAGAAATTGGACACGTATATGACACATCTGAAAAAAAAAAGGGTGAGGCAAGGTTTACACACTGGCCTTGGGCCATGTTTCCTTCATGAGGAAAAACTCAAAATTTAGGAAATTAAATTAAACTACCTATGTTACTTGTAAGTTTCGGAAAAGGTGGAGAAAATGGACCATCCATATTGGTATACTTATTTGGCAATGAAATCATGATGAAAATATTTTCTCATGGAAATACCAAGTGTAACTCTTCATCCTAATAGCATATCAATTAATAGGTATTTTACTCTGATAAACCAACAAATATAATATTTAGGAATATTTGGAGCACATATATTGTGCAAGTACCTTTATACCTTCATATTTACACTAAGTCAAATAAGTTAAAATGCTCTGATTTTAGAAGCTATTATACTTTTGTACTTAATACTACTTAGTAGTACAAATAAGTCACTCGTAAGACTTTGAACGCATTCGCATTTTGAGGTTGACGCAATTTACCTGTGGATATGAGATACATGAGATCAGAAATTCTTCTTAGCAACAAAATTCTCACAGAGTTGCAACTTAAATGTACAGGTCAAACCCTATCAGAACAAATATTCCTACAATCAGAATCTGAAGAGTTAAACCAAAAAAGTAACAAATTCGTACCTGAAAGTTTATAAATTTGATGCTACATTTGACAAAATACTGTTCAAATACCTGTAAAGACACTTGGGTGTCTCTTAGAGTTCACTGGAATGAAATTTTAAAATATTTAGCCGTCAACTAGTTTCAAGTTTCTTTAAAGAGTTCATAGAATAAAATATTTTCCAATCATAATGTCATTGAGAAAGAAAATGTTTTTTTTTTTACCAAATCAAAGTATCAATTAAAAGAAACAATCTAAGTCAAAACCTTATGAAATAAGTCTCAAAGGGACAAAAAATAAAGATACTAATTTTAAAAAATGAGGAGTAAACCTAATAGTAGTAGATAAAGACCTTTGCTTTAACTAAATATTTAAACTATGGATATTCCCTTTTGAAATGAAATGAATTTCAATTTCACTGAAATGAAATTTAGTGTTTCTGCTTATAGAAAGTTGAAATGTAATGAAATTTTAGCATACACTTGATTGCTGTTAATAAAGCTATGCATAATCAATCTAATGACGCATATCAATATACATTTGGTATTTTTAACTTGTTACCTTAGACTTGATATGAGCACGCAGCCATGTAAAATGGTTTTCACAGTCTTTCAAGGAATCTCACAAAATTGAGGGCTCTGAAAGTAAAAACACGAGAGAGAGCTCTGTAAGGGTGAGGCAAACGTGGAAGCATCTTCACCTGATACTGGCAGGGCCACTCACTGGTTCGAGCTCCAAGGGAAAGTTAAAGCAGCAAAAGCTTTTCAAATACTTACATTATTATCTTATTTAGTTTTCACAGAAGTTGTAAGGCAAGATTTATCCACCCTGGGCCCCATCTAACAGACCAGAAAACTGAGGCCCAGGAAAGTTCAATAACTATCCAGGACCACAGATTTGGTCAATGGAAGAGCCAGGTTTCAAACATATGAACTCGGGAAGGGAGTGGGGTAGATTTTCTGGTCACTTTGTGTCACTCACGTGACACTTATAACGACGGCCTTATCTCTAGGAAACATGTCATAGCTCTGCTTAGATGGTGGGTAGTTAGGGCTGGAAATGAGCTCCCTGTACTACCCACAGCAAGTCATACAATCCTTTTATGAACTCATAATACTTATTTCTCAAATAAACCAATCTGAATAAAAGTTAAGTCACAAAGTTTCCTTCTGTCAACAGAAATGAAGTTCCTCACATTTCTTTGAAGAAGCAATTTATATGGCAGATAAAACCATTTTCTTCAGGTATTTTCCGTTAAATTTTTAAAAACATTTTTTCCAATTCGAGACCAATACTGGTGAAAACAAGTTCACGTAAAGCAAAAGTAAGGGTCTGTGCCCTCTGATCTTAATTACAGCGCAGCCCCATTTTATTTTGAAGAGTGACGATCAGGTTCCTGTGAAAGTAATCGCACTCAGTTTTAGCCACAGTGATGCAACTAACAGACTTGGGCCAAGACTGCCCACCGTTCGCCGGACTGGAGGGCAGCAGTCAAATACGTATAGCTGCCCGAAAGGATTGTGCGTTTTCTGAACATTTCACTCCTGTAGTAACATGATGAACATGAGCACCCGTAGAAAACATAAATTATACGTCACAAGATTCAAATTTAAATTGTTCAGCACAGAGAGAGCACCTCATGCACCTAGAACGCCCAGAAGAATGACCTAGTTGCCTAACTCTGCCTTAAACCAAAATCGTTAGGTTGCAAGAGTAGCCACTTTCAGACAGCTTGCTTTTTCCACGAGTTCTGTCCCATTAAAGGCCTGGTGATGAGATGACATATTAGAAAAATCTGAATTGAGTAAAATCAAAGTATCTCTCCCCTACATATAGTTTACCTGAAAGAACAAGACGCAATTATACCACTTTCTTCACAAAATCTATTTCCCTCTGAATTCTGGTTGCTATAAAAATAATACTTAGAGTTTGTAATACATAATATGTGTTATATACTCCACACGTACAGTCTTAAATGACTCATATAAAAAAATGAATGTTGGGAAAGGAGAAAAGTACTTCAAGACAAAAAAATTAAAAAAGTATGTGACCTCTGGTCACCTAGACCATATTATGAACTATTATGAATCTCCCATGAATACCAGTAGTAAGCAATTTATTCTGTATCATCATATTTCCATATTCTTACATAAATAAAAATGTTTCCGGGCAAGTAATGCAAGTTTGCAAACTGGTTTCTATGTAATATGGAGAGTTTTAATTCATGAACAGATGACATGCCATTATGATATTAAATGACAGTGTCTTCAAAAATTGAATCCTGACACGGATATTATGAATCCACCTATTTTAAAACAGCACACTTAACAATACTTTAAAAAATGTTTTCAATGAGAGTGTCAGAGCTTATTAAACCGTTGACAATCCACTGAGCTGACAGTTCTTAGAATAAAATATGGAATTTACCTGAACGTCATGGAACAATATCATTCTCTCTTGAACTAAACAGCCTCTGAGTACACACGTCTAAGGCAGACAGACATTTCAGCAAGGCAAATAAGACTTTCTGGCAACTTCCTGTTGCCATATTTCTCTAAAAGGATCCTGCAACGTTATAGTTCAATACTAAATGCATTTTTCAAGGGACACAGTACCCCCGTGCTACTCAGTGTCAAATAGCTTTGATTTTTTTCCCCCAAGTACAGCAAGCAAATAACCACTAATCCTACTCAACATTACAGATTCACAGCAATGATTTTATTTGCAGCTTCAAGAGAACTGGGAACACACAAAAAAAGAGGAGCTATTATCTCCTTGTTTTGTTGTGTCTGATTGATTGATTTTTAAGATACTGATCGAGGAAACGGTTGTCCCACATCTGTTAAATACATACTAGTGGAGGGGACAATTTTATATTAACGAGAAAGAACTTCACTGCACCCATTCATACCCCAGTTTCTGTTGTGTCTTAAAAGCAGTAGGACTAACTAAAATCAGAGTTACCTCATGCATCTGAAAGTTTTTCAAAGCTGCACACACACCTGAACGGTTGTCACTTGCAGAAGCCCCCTTTCTCCAGCAAATAGCCCACCTCTCCAATTCAAGTTCCCTTGCATTTTGGAGTACCCTCGACTTTGAAATGTAAAAACTTTTATGAAATGGCAAAATGAAACAACCGTAAAAGCAACATAAGAGCTTTGATCACTGAAGCAGTATTTCCAGAAGTGATAGCAAAATCCCTCCATTCTGACCTACTTGTCGAGAATCGGACTTGCATCGCCACGGTTAGGCTAAGATTTGTTCTACTTTCTCCCTGGGGCTTAATTGCCAGACTGACTTACCCGTACCTCCTAGCCTTTGTTCTGCCTCTCACGATGACCTCAGGGAAGCAGTGATGTAGAATAAAGCAGGGGTGGGCTAGGGTAGTCCAGTGTTTGTGTCGTTGTGTGGTGTGCAGGGACACTCTGTGATACTCTAGTGAGCTGCTAAGCTTTTTTTGTAGGCTTTGTGTCATTTACTTAACGACCAATCTCATTAGCTGCCAGGGTACAATGGGCTGATGCATTTTCTATGTACATACTCTACACAGTGACCCTCAAGGTTGCCGAAGGTCTATTTAATCAGTCAAATGCTGAATATATTTGCAGTAAATCACTAAAAAAAGAGAGAGAGAAAAAAATATGAGACTCCCGAGGTATCTTGCAGGCTTCCTATTTAAGGGTGGTTACTCGCAGGTAATAAAATGCATGCATCTTTAGCCAAAACAAGGGTAGGGCAGGCGGAGAGGAATTCTCTAGTTGGCATGGGTGACCTTAATTTTTTTAAAACAGAACTTTAAGCATCAAAGATATTTTCTCCGAGCAAGGAACCCGGATTTGAAATTTAATTTCTGTCTTAGTTTAATCTTATTAGCAAAACCAAAAAAGCGATGCATCCTTTAGCAGTTTCTCCTGACTCCGAAGTTGCCCCTGCCCCAGTCCTACCCACTGCCCGAGCAGCCTTGGAACTGGCAAAGTTACGTTCCTGCCCTCTTTCCGTGACAAGGTAAAAAGGCTTTTAACTCTTATGAAAAATGAAATGCTGACAGCACGGTGAATGACGACAGCTGTCCATAAGTATCAGGGAGAGCTCTATTGTCCAGCCAGTCCCTGGATAAAATGAACCCTTTACAGCAGAGGCTGTTCAGCTTGGCTAAAGAGTGTGGGGAGAAGCGGAGGAGGTCACTGGAGATTTCGCACACTAATTTAATCTGGGAAAAGGACAGGCTCTGCATCTCCCCTGAACAGACTGGCAGCAATCTGGGCCCCGCAGAACTATCTCCTTTTGCCTGTGCTCTATTTATTCCTTATCTCTGTTTACCAACCGCTAGGTCCCTTTCATTCACACCACGAGGCCGTTTTTCCTACTATCAGTCAGCAGCTGACACTGTGGAAGAGCCTCAAAGGCAGAAAAAAAAAAAAAGAAAAAGAAAAAAGAAAAAAGATCAAAAGTAAACCAAAGCTGTATAAACAATGCAACAGTACAAGTAAATGCATAAACCCTGATTCTTAACCCAACCCACAGGGTGCAAACAAACCCACCACAGTGAGCTATGACCACAGAGAAAGAAAAGACCAAAACCATTCATGAAATCACCATCCGAAAAGAAGGGCTTGAATGGATGCTGGCTGCTGAATCAGGTCAGGGGCGTTCTTACCTCTATCATAATCAATTAAGTAGCAACCAGGACACATTTACCTTGCCGGGAAGGTGAGCTATACACGTCTAAGGGGAAACTCACTCTTATTAAGATGCCAGCAGATTAAAAAAAAAAATCCACCAATACGATTATAAGTTAAAGGGAATCCAACAACGTTAACTTTTTCAATACCTCATCGTGTTGGTTAAATTTAAACAATTCAAGAAGCTGGGCATGAAACCTCTATCATTTTTATATAAAGATAGTAAAAAGTTCCGTGCAATCCAGCCAACCAGATCTTTTTCCGTGACCTATGTCAACGTGATTCACGTAGAAAAGGAGTTGGGAAAAGACAACTTCAAGTACAACTTTTTTATCTTTTGAAGACCTCTACAGCGTGTGGGTAAAAACAGAGGCTGGAGTAACTAGTGTGAAGTGTAGAAAGAGGAGAAAACAAAACAAGTGTTATTTTGAACCTTGCAACTTTTGAGTAAATATGAATTCTGAATCTGAAGTAGGCTTTACCTGCATTCAACTCGAGTACTAAGTAAGTCTGAATATTTCGACAAAGGGGAGGATGCCACTTAATATTAGTAGTTCATTGAAGTGATTCGGGATATATATGATTTAGAGTGGGGATACGTATATAGTGTAAGCATAGATACACACACTGCTACCCACATACACATACACAAAATGAGAACGTGTATAATTTGTAATGCTACAGTTCCCTCGATTAAAAATCGTGACTCACTTTAAATTTCCCTGATTTTTTTTATCATTGAAATGATTGGAAATGATTGGTTATTGTCATAAAAATCAACACCGTGTTGACACAGTCACTAAGACCTTTAGTAAAAAAGGGAAGACAAAATGTAGCTCATTATCTAGGATGATCAATTGGACCAGATTTCAGTTTGTGTTTTCACCTATATGCATTATGAGCAATGAAGTCTTTACTACTTTGG